CTAGGTTGAGGAAAGGGGATACGATCCAAGCCACTAATGCGACCCTCTTATCCTATTGACTAAGGATTGGTTCGACTTCACCCTCGAATCGGAGTTCGGACGGCCACCCACAAGCAAACCCTAGGTGCTAATACGAAATAGGAGGTTTTCCCTGCGTTAATCTAACTAGGAGAAAATGAATTGCCTAAGAAAACCCAGCATTCAAGCCTCTTTCAATGAAAGGAAGGGGGTATCTCTCTACCTAAGTTAGAATGGCAATTAGATTGATAGGCATTCACACAACACAATCATTCATGAATAATACCTCCATATTCACATTAAACACCCAAGTGAAAGAAGGGACTACTCCATTCCAGGAGAAGGGAAAACATAAGAGAGAAGAAGGAAAACCATCAAAGAGATGCTAGCCTTGTTCCTTGTGTTGAAGAGATCCTCCTTTGGGGGAGGAATTCCCAATTCCTTGCTTGAAGATGAAACCCTATCTTCTCCTCTTCTTTGGTTCGTCACTTTCTCACTCTAAAAATCTAAAGAGGAAGAAGTTTCTCACACTATGTCTCTCCCCTTCTCCTTTGGCTTAACCTCCTTTATATACCCAGATCGAGTGCAGTTCACGGTCTTAGTTCATGACTGTGAACTGAAAGCACAGACTGTGAACCAACGATGAAACGTGCCGCATCACTAAACTCTATTCAGGGACGGTGGTCTAAGTTCACAGTCTTACGACCATGAAGTGGCTTGTGTCCAGTGAAACCCTTCTGTGCTCTGGATGTCTAGCAGTTCGCGGGGAGAGCGTCTAGTTCATGGTCTAAGTGACCGTGAACTCATAGCCCAATATGCGAATTGCTGCTGTTTCCACCGTTTGACTTGATCTTTTGCCCTTTCGTCCAACTTTCGACTCCGGGGTTGGTTTCACCTCCCAAAGCCTAAAACATACCAAACAAGGCATAACCCGGCGTAAAACCAAACTTCTGGAGCAAAAATGCTTCAAACGACTAAGCAAACTGGGGGTAAAAGTGTACAAATGAGCCCGAATCAAATTGCTAGGTATTTCCCTATAAAGGATAGGCTTCTGCGGTGGTTTATGACTAAACATATCACAATGGCTATGAGGTGGCACAAGGATAATCGTGTCGATGATGATATCCTTAGGCATCTAGCAAATGCACAGACTTCGAAAGATTGATGCAGCCCATAGTTGGTTTGCTTCCGATCCTAGGAACGTCTGACTTGCGTTGTTGAGTGATGGGTTTAATCCATTTGGCAACATGAGTACTAGCTACAACATGTGGCATGTTGTTCTTACTCCTTACAATTTGCCACCATGGTATTGCATGAAAGAGTATTTTTTTCCTTAGTGTCATGATACCAGGAAGATATCCTTGGGTAACAATATAAATGTGTATTTGGAGCCACTGATTGAGAGTCTGAACGAATTATGGAATCATGGGGTCAAAGCTTATGATGCTTACTCTAATGAAACTTTTCAATTACATGTTGCGTTGTTATGGACCATAAATGATTTTCCAGCTTATGGTATGTTGTATGGGTAGAATACTAAAGGTAGGTTAGCTTGTCCTAGCTTCAATAGGGAGACAAACTACCTACGATTACAATTTGGCAGCAAAGAGTGCTATCTGGGTGATCGTAGATGGTTAGACGAAGATCACCCATGAAGGAGAAGTAGGAAGTTTGATGGGAAGACAGATTTCAGAGCTAGGCCTAAAGTGTTAACTGGACAACAATTGCTTGACCAAGTTACTTTTGCTTTAGGCAGTGAGCAGGCCAGTAGTGTCGCAAAAAGAAAAGGGGTGCCTCAAACCCTAGTTTAAATTGGAAAAGCAAAGCTACTTACTGGGATTTGCCTTATCGGACTAGTATTGCATTGCGGCATAAATTAGATGTTATGCATGTGGAGAAGAATATCAGTGAGAATCTACTAGGAACCCTGATGAACACTGAAGGAAAAACGAAAGATGGCATGACTACTAGGCTAGATTTGGAAAACATGGGAATTCACAAAGAGTTGCACATTGATAGAACTGGGACTAATCCTTGTTTACATCATGCCTATGATTCATTACCGGTTTTGAAACAGTGAGAAGTGTCTGAGTGGTTGAAAACCATCAAGTTCCCCGATGCATATGCATCCAACATATAACATTGTATTACTAGTGATGGGCAGTCTGTGACTGGCATGAAAAGTCACGACTACCATGTTTCATACGGCGTTTATTGTCGGCAGTGGCACAAGGTTTCTTGAAGAAAGAAGTATATGTCGTCTTGGCTGAACTAAGTAAATTTAATAGAGAGATACGTTCCGAAATCATATCCAACTCTTTAGTCCACACTTTGCAAAAGAACATAATCTTAATTATTTGCAAACTAGAGTTGATTTATCCTCCATCATTCTTCGCCATAATGATGCATCTTGCCATGCATCTTCCTGATGAGATAATGTTGGGCAATCTAGTTAAATATAGGTGCATGTATCCAATGAAAAGGTACATAGGCAGTCTTGTTTTTTTTCTTTGTTAATGTTTTAAGTTTCATTGTCACTCAGTTAACATGTGTTTCTGTATTCAATTGTTCTAAGGTTTCTTAGGAAAATTGAAATTTTTTGTCACAAATAGAGTACGTGCAGAGGGATCCATTGCTGAAAAATATATCGCCAAAGATTGCTCTGGATTTTTTTGCGAGATATCTTGACAGGGTTGAGTCCGTGGAGACTCGTTAAGATAGAAATGATGAAGTGTCTCATTTATATGGTGAAGGTAGGTTTTATATTTTCTATCAGAAGACTAGACCATTAGATGGTGCTAAACATGAGACTCTAAAGCATCCTGAGTTTAACAAGATTCAAACCTACATACTAAATAATTGAGAAGAGGGAGAGGATTGCTTCAAGTAAGTCAAATTGTCTTTTTACATGAATTTCTCTTCAAGTGCGTAAGAGGTACAATGTTTGGTGTTATAGGTAAAGTTCTGATCACACCTGACATAATGTGTTCCGAGGAGATGAAGAGGATTAATCCAAATTCTTCATTCACGACTACTGCAGAATTTTTCCCAAAATGGTTAAAAACTTATGTAACCTGTGGTGAATTCTATAAATTGATAATTAGACGGTTTTCTCCTTTAGGTTTGACTTCAAGTATTTTTTGTGACAATCTAACTGTTCCTTGTTGTTGTTTTTTTTTGTATTTTATATAGGTTCCAAAGTTGTTTGCCTATGGCTTCCTTGGCCAGAATGACCATTTATATATTCTAGGTATAGGTGCAGATGAGAGAATAACTAGATACATGGGTTTAATTGTCAATGGTGTTCGGTATCAAATTCATGAGGTAGATAGTAAACAAAGTACTCAAAATAGTGGTGTTGTTGTCCAGGGGGAACATAATGGGCATATTATAGATTTTTATGGTGTGATGGTAAACATTTTGCGAATTCAATTCTTTAACAACTTGAAAGTATATTTATTCAAGTGTGATTAGTGGGATGTAGGAGATATGAGGAATGGGATCAGATCTGATGGTTTTCTAACTAGTGTGAAAATAGGGAAGAGGTGGTACCAAAATGAGCCCTATGCATTAGCTAACCAAGTGAAACAGGTTTTTTATATAGGGGATACAAAAAATGGTGGTACATGGCGTATAGTAAATAAGGTCTGTCCTAGGCATATATATGACGTTCCGAAAAAAGGAGGATGGGGAAGAGGTTGATCGAGTTTGCATTTATGGACCTTATGAGGACAAATCAAACACGAAAGCGGTGGAAATTCTAGCAGACAACATCGATGACCATTAGCTCAGTAGTGCTGATGGCGATCCAGTGACCGTAACTACTGCAAAAATCACAATCATGGAACAAGTACTGGCTAGGAACGAGTTGGTAATTTCTAAAGATGCAGAATCAGAGGTTGCGGAGGATGAGGAGCTAGAGTATCTAAGTGACTCTTCTAGGGAGAATGACAGGAATGACAATCAAGATGATATAGAGAATGATAACTAGAACCGAGTTTTTTTATTTTTTTTTGTTTTATACTAGACTTTCATTTTGAATTCTATGCCCAATGAAAATTGTGTGACTGTTTGATGATAGTTTGTCATTTATATGTTATGGATTCTGGTTTGTCAAATTGAATCATGTCCTTAGATTTAAACCGAGCCAGGCATTTAAAGTTTGAGAAGTGGAAGCCTCATTGATGTTTTATAATAGACTTGCACTTGTTTTTGCAGATATGGCTCCTGGTATGCCTCGTGGTAACAAAAGAATGTGGGATGCAGCCAACTGACCAATACCTGCAAGAGTGACAAGATTGATAGCATCTGCTCCAAGAATGGAGCCGGTTCGGGAACCGCTTCGGAAGTCAAGGACTAGAACCTGCAATGACATGCGTGATCAGGAAGTAACACAGGAGCTGATTGCAGAGAATGACGACTTTGAGGAAACTGCAACCACTAAGCATAATACATCAGGTATGTATAATCTATTTCTCTCTTTGTAATGATATGTTACAGTATTTGCATTGTGTTTAGTATGTGTTCCTAATTAGAATTAATTATACAGATGCGCCAGAGCGTACCAAAGCAAAAGGGATTGGTGTAATGAAACAAACAATGGATTGAGTCAATACACCACAAAATAAAGTGGATAAAGTTTCAATATCGTCCATAGAAATCAAATCTTGCTTCTGATTTCAAGCGTTAACTTGGTAAAATATATGCAGAGAGCAAGAGCAACCTAATTAGGTAAGTATAAAATGTGGCTATAACTAGTGCAATGCCATCAACATCAACCATGAAACCGATTCGCTTGGACTTTATAGTTGTGGTCCATGCAAGTTTGATTCTTCATGTGGTTGGACGCTAGTCGACAAGTGCTTATCTCATCTCAAATAATGACCACAATACGATAGTTGTCTTCTTAATAATATCCATGCACACAGACGTAAATTAGCAAGTAAAGTAAGGACTATCCGATCTTTGACTTGTTGAGCCTTTCATGACTTGTGCAGCAACGGTTGATGCTTATTGTCTTCCCACCTATCCAGCCTTTTCTCTGCTGTTTCCACCTGCATTTTGATTCATCATCATTCAGTTCCATAGGGTAATTATATTATCCCTCCTGAATCTATTGGTCCTATTACAAACTCACTTGGGTAAAAAGGCTAAGGAATGTAATAATGATAGAGTATTTTATACGGAAACAACGGTTTAACGGTAGTTCAACTGTTTTATACCGCTAAAATTAATTTAGCATTCGGTACTACATCAATTGATTTTCCCGTATCTCCTTCTAACTAATGAAAATATCGGTTAATACACTCCTTCCATCCTAAGCGATTTGGCAGACGAATCACTTAAAAGTGAAAAGAAATTTCCGCTTCTGAATCTCGCTTAATTGAATCTCTCGCCCTTCAAATTGTTATAGTTCTATCCTAACAACTTAAAAATTAATGGCAATCCTTGGGCTTGGATCAAAGTTGTCAAACTGGGTTATGTTGGTGCGACGGTTTTACAAATGGAATGGTCCGACCATGGTATAACCAATATTCATACCGGTTATGTCGGTTCTAATAAAATACATGAGAAAAATAGAAATCCTCAATTCCAAATAAATTAGTAAAGCAATTAAAGAGTTATTTCACACAAAATAATTTATAGCTAAGCATTGGTAACTAATAGTAAATAATTAGATGCACAAAAATAAAGTATATAAAATGAATTTTATTAATGTTTATAATAATTTGTGTAAAATATATTATTAGATATATAATATATAAGACTAATATATACAACAAAGTTGCTTGCAGCTTGCTGGTGTATAATTGAAACTAAAATTAATATGAAGTACTTAGTTTGAACCATATATATATGAAGAGTGTTTATTGTTTGGATATAATGTATGTAACAATGAATTCCGGTTTCTGGTCTAATCGGCAGGAATTTTTGGATTTTACCGGATTTTATCGACATTGATTGGATTTTACCGAAGCTAAATACCAGCCCATTTCCAATCGGTTTGGTGACCGATACCAATTGTATCCAGTTGGACCGACCGGAGGAAACCGGTTTGACAACCATGGCTTGGATTCTTTTTGTCCAGCCACGTTGGTGGCCTTCTTTTATGCATGGAATGCATGCGATGGGCTTGGGCGATCCATTGTCTTATCATTTTTTCGGTCGAACCATAAGTATGTATACAATTTTACAAACACTAGTGAAAAGTAAAAACCTATAATGATGGCTGTGGCAATGGCTTCAATGGTAACACGTCACTAACACTTAGCTTTAAAACTATTATTTTCAGAAAACTCACCTGGATAGCTAAGTCAATGATTATCAAACTTTACTTGCCTAAACAACCAAAAGTTGAGGCTAGAGACTAGAGAGCCATTGTTACTTTATTAAAAAGGAATGTGAAAGTTTGGTTTCATAGCGTAAAGGGAATACAGACATACATAAGCAACAATAATGATTGGTTACATTGAAAAGAGAGATGTGTAGTGGAGGGAGAAAGCGAGGTAGCACTGCAAAAAAAAAAAATATATATATATATATATATATAACAGGAAACTGACTAAATGTAACTCGTTTTAGTAATTCGAGTGATAAAAATTGATATTAATTTTTTTAGTGATTAAACATAACACGATTTAGTAATCTCAGTGACCAAATGTGACATTTACCCAACATAAAACATACCCCTAAAATCGTATTTTGTTTTAGACCTCAATATGAGACTTCTCTACTCTAGCCATTGATATGGCTTCAGTGAAAGGCTCAAGGTTGAAGTTGAGGGGTTTCAGTTTTTGAGCAGGTAGTTACTATAAATGTGGGATCTGTGACGATCACTTGGTCGTCGTTATAGTTTTTACCGACGGTCTGGCCGTCGCTACATTGTATAAAAATCATCGCTGAAGTGGTATTTTCTTGTAGTGTAGGTACTTACTATAAATGTGCAAAGATGAAGTAATGAATAATTCTATAGCCGGAAGTTTACGGGTTATGTCAATGAATCATACGTTCTTAAGAGGAGGAATTTTACAATGCTATATAGTATTGGTGCTATAGGTTTTTGTCTTTATGGTACAACTTGAAATTGTACCTTTAACGTTATGGTACAACATCAGATTGTACCTATACTTTTGTACAAATTCTTTTATGGTACAACTTAAACTTGTACCTTGTGTGATGGTACAACTTCAAGTTGTAAAGTTGTACCAAAACATAATGATACAAATTCCTTTATGGTACAACCTAAACTTATACATTTAATGTTATGGTACAACTTCAAATTGTACATTAAAGCACCAATACTATATAGAACTGTAATGATAAAGGAGATTATATAAACTTACTTCTTTTTTCCAGTCGGTGCGATACGTAACCCAAACCAAAATGACGGTCTGACATATGGTACCACTCAGCAAACCGGTCCATATTCCCTGAAAAAAAAGAAAAACGCACGGAAACACAAAGTCATTCATCATCGACCGTAAAAAGACAAAGAAAAATAACTCTTTACTGTCTCACTGGCATCCATCCAAAAACACGCAGTCAAATCTAACCAGTAACCAGTTAGGCAGTTACCAATACCTATATTTGTTCTTTTTTTCATTATTTTCTGATGAACGAATAAATTCAATGCAGTTGGCGCAACGCTCGCTATACCCCAAGACCAATTATATCTATACATGTAATGAAGGCGACAGCACATCCAGATCTCCTATTCACTAACCCACAAACCCTAATTTGTGACGTTTACCAAAAAAAACTTAGCTAAGAATTTTGCAAGTAGTAGCAGCTGCCTTACCATTAATATGCGTATTGCCATGAATAAGAAATGGTTATGAATAAAAATATAGTGAGCTTGAGCCCGCCACGCACGTACGAACCAAAACACTATGGTTTCCAGTGGCGGCCCCACAGGAATGAATAGGCATAGTTGATGGGAACGGTACACAGAAGGACAACAATTACAAGATAGAAAGACAAGTAGCGAATTATTAACTATTGGTCCACAACCACACATTCTTGACACATCGCAAAACAAACACTAACTAGAGCCTGTTTTCCTGCACGTAGCTTTAATTAATTAATTAATTTTGGTTGTTTGTTTGTTGAAATGAGAGGATTGCAACATGGGCACGTGCTTTATTTTTGCCACGCAATGCCCACTTTTACATATTATGCACTTGGAGTGAGCAGTGGTCTTCTTAATTGTTAAATATATGTATTATGATGAATTTATGTATATTATTATATTGATAAATTGTAAAATATAGTGTTTAAGTTTATGAGATTGTGTTAGTAGTTTTGAAAAAATCGTCACTTTATAAAAGACCAGACAATTTCAAATCAATTATCACAATAATAATCAATAGTAAAAATTGAAATACAACACTCATTGTTTTTACTTATAATTTGTGTCAAATCACAAAACAATTCAGGTATTGTACTATTGTTTATGCAACTCTTACAGAAACCGTTGTATCTTCCAAACAACTATCTCATAATGTGGTTTCTCTTAATCCAAAACTTGTGGGTCATACAAGTTGGCAATTCTCTTCCAGATAACAGTTAAGAAAAACTTACGAATTAGGTGTCGTTTAGAAGTTGCAATTGTTGTATTTGTTAAATACATGCATTGTTTACAATACAACGTTTGGAAGTGTCAAGTTGCAAAATAGTGCATGCATGTATTGTATTGTGTGGGCCCCAATAACAATCAACAAAAACGAGAGATTGTACAATTTCAAGTAAAAGTTGTGATTGTTGGTGACCCCTTTTCTATGAATTGGTTACATACATGCTGTAAACTGTGAATCCTTGTTAGGGTTTCGGAGAAGCAGAAACACTTTTCAAAAATGGTGTATGTTAGTCATGTGTAAACGTTACCTTAGCACCCATCTTGAAATGGAAACCCAGAAGAGCGCCAAATGGGACTCCAACAACGTAATAGCAGATCACATTCACATACGCCACAAATGCTTGCCATCCACACCCTACTGCCACTCCTGCAACCATCCATCCATCATCACATGCAAGTACAGCCAGCGCCGGGCCAGTTAATTAGCAAAATTTGGCAACATATGTACAAGTAGTCGACAAGTTCAAACAAGACCCAAAAAAACACAGTATCTTCTAATTAATCAAGATTCCGTTCTACTCAAACACCACGTTATGTACCAACAAAACACTATTGTCAAGTATCGTGGTCCGCTCAGAGAGTTACGTTTGTATTTTTCTACTAATACATGTCCGTGACGAAAACCCATTCAGATAATGTCCGTTTTGTCGATGGGTTCAGAGATCAATTAAGTTAAAGAAAAAAAAAAGTAAGTAATTGATAAATGACATGCCTGAGAGGACAGGTTGAACTCCGTTGAAGACGATGGTAATGGCCAGCAACGGACACAGATCGGAGACAGCCGCAGAGACGGCTTGGCCCTCGGTGAAAGCTAGACCGATGACGTCGCGGAATACCATCACTAAAATCGCCAGGATCACCGACACCAAGAAGGAAACTCCGGTCACCATTATTACTGAAAACGCCGCCGATTTGGGATGCCCGGCGCCAAGCTCATTGCTCACTCGGACACTGTACGTTAATTAAGTACGTGATCAATCAATGATAAGTACGTACGTACGGTCCATATTTTTAATCAACACTAGAGTTACTGTTTGGTAACCGTACCCATCTTAATTTATTCTGCAGGCTGACAAGTAGGTGAAAAAAAAGTACACCATTATGGCAATGTGAAAATTTGGGATTGCTGCAATTTGAATTGTCAACAGCGTTTATCTAACAATCTGAAATGATCTAATTTTTTTAGAAAATTCCCCACTTAATCAAAATGACACATGTTTATAAAAGTCGATCATATCCAAACAATCCGTTAATTAATCCGTGAGAAAGTTTACTTATAATAAACAATAAACTTAGTCCCACGCCGATTTCCCAACTTTTCATTCTCACTGGATCCATTAACTGTCCCCCCGCTACTAATTAGCGAGGAATTAACTAATTAATTAGCAATTCTAAAGTGTCTCCAAAACGCAATGAATGTGTGTTTCACCAACCTTGCAGCCGCATTGAACCCCATGGAAATCATGAAGAACCAACCCATCAGCGTCGCGCTGCAACATATAGTAAGAAAATTAACTTTTTTGTAGGGACAATCCATAATGAGAAGAGAAAAAAGGACAGAAGTATTTCAAAGCCAACTGATCTTGGTGTTTTTTGACCCGACCCGACTCACCAAATGGAGAGAGAATCCAAGGACAGCTCCGGATTCTCCAGCATCCCGGCCAGCAAAACCAGGACGTCCAAATACCACTGCTCCAGCGCCAGCATCACCCCCGACGCCACCGACAGCTTGAAGAAATCCCACAAACCGTGAAACGCCTGCACCGAGAACCCGGTCCACGTCTCGCGACACGTCTCGCTCCGGACGATGTACCAGAACTGTAACCCAACCAGAATCCACCACGACAGGCTCAGCGCCAGCGACGCGCCCAGCAGCCCGACGCCGAGCTTGTACGCCACCACCCAGCTCATCCCCAGGTGGACCAGTAACACAGCAACGGAGATGTAGGCGTTGGGCATGACAATGGACTGGGCCTGCAGAAACTTCTGGATCGGGAAGTTGGCCGCGTAAGCGAATATCTGCGGGATCAGGCCGTACACGTACAGCCCCGTAGCCGACGCGATTTCCTCCGACTGCCCCAGGAACATCAGGATCTGCTTCGCGAACACGTAGACGGCCACGATCCCCAATCCCACCAGGGACAGCAGTACGAACGACCGCTGCAGATAGATTCCTAGCATCTCGTACTTTTGGGCGCCGTAGGCCTGCCCGCACAGCGTCTCCACCGCGCTCCCAAGCCCCCACTACGAAAAAAATAATAATTTTAAATTTAATGGAAAGATAAAAAGGGCGGGGGGAGTAGGGAATTGTTTTGTACCATGATGCCGAAGGCGAAGAGCTGGATGCCGTTATTGCCGAGGGAGGCGCCGGCGAGCTCGAGGTTGCCGAGGTGGCCGGAGAAGATCTGGGTGAACATGGACATCATGAAGCCGGTGACGTAGACGACGATGCAAGGACCGGCGAGGTGGAAGAGGAGTTTGAGCTCGATCCCGGAGCAGGAGGAGAGGCGTTTCAGGAGGGGCAATGCGGGGTCGGAGAGTTTGCTCTCCAGCTGCACGCTGGCCTCGGCGTCGAGCTCTCCGAGGGAAGAAGAGCGGCGGGGGAGGAGCGGTGTTGCGGCGGGAGAAGGCGGCGGCGGTGGTGTGTGTAGATCGGAGGGTGGTCGGTTGGTGGTGGGAGGATGGTGGTCTGCCGCCATGGCCGCGGGACGGGTTTGATGATTTGTGAGGTGGTGGGGGTGGAAGCCTGGAAGGGCAACTGTCCAATGTTATTTGGCACTGGAAGTACTGATTGTGGAAAACCTTTTTTTCTTCCTTCTTCCATTATATGAGAGGAAAATTTATAAAGCTAAAAGTAACGGCGAGATCTCCAACGTAGAAATCATGATTGGTGCCAAACTAATGCGACTCCAACACGTGACTACGATTTAAAAATTGAAGTTTGGAAATTTCAAATTTGCAACGACGATAGTTCTTGCATATAAATAATCCATATAACTAAATATCATTCTAAGAACACACATAATTCCCGTCACTCACCTAGTCAAGCATATGAATATGTCTTTATTGATTATGTTGTCAGTCTATGATTTGAATGTTCGTACTGCAGTAGAATCCAATAATGCAGATTTTTTAAATTCGATTTCCATTTAAAATGAGAAATAGTGGAGTTAATAACTTCCCCTCTATTAAAGATAACAGAACTAGTTAGAGTGTTGGATCTGAGTTGGTGCTCAAACGAATTACAAGGGCTAAAATCTCTAAAGATTTTGGTTCGGATTTTACTACAATATACAACCTAGTAGGTCCTATATCTCTGCATGAAGCTCTGACTTCCATCGATGCAGTTTGTGGGAAGGAGTCGTTAATGACGAATTTGGATTTTCTAGTGTCGAATAAGAGTTGACATCATGTAGACTTATCTCCTGGCTGCAAAGCCTTAGGTTTAGGTAATAAATGGAATTTGAAAACGAAACTGAAACCAGATAGTCCAGTTCATAAGTTTAAGGCCCGCCTAATAGCTATAGGCTATAGGCAGAGAGAAAATGCAGTTTTCTTTGACATGAACTATTCACCAGTATCTAGAATATCATCCATTCATGTGATGATTGCACTTGCTGCTTTGAAAAACCTTGTTGTACATCGATGGAAGTTAAAACTGCTTATTTGAATGGTTATTTCTGAACATGCCTCAAAATTTTGTAAGTTCGACAAATCATCGTATAGCTTGAAAGAGGCTCCAAAACACTAGCATAAGAAAGTTGACACTAGATTCTCTCATATGAGTTTAAAGAAACTGAAAATGAAAAGTGTATATATTATAAATCCAAAAATAACACTTGCACTGTCATGTGTTTGTATGTGGATGACAGGTTAATATTTGGTTCAAATATTCACGATATCAATCTAGTTAAAACCATATCCTGTTAGGACTTTGATGTGAAAGATCAGGGTGAAGCTAAGTTTATTCTTAGCATCTAGATAACAAGAACATTAAAGAGTTTTTTTATAACACCCAAAATTGTGTTATTTAGCCTCTATATTTTAGGTCTTTTCAGGTTCTTTCTTAGTCTTAATGGTCAATATTTCATCAAATGCATCCCGAATCCGCTCCTCGGAGTAAATTATGTAATTTTAGGGTGTATTAGACGATACATGTGTTTTAGGCACGAAAAGAGGTCACAAGTGTAGGAAAGGAGAAAAACAATGAGATCATGATCGAGAAAAGGAGGCGCGAAGCCAAGCTCAAAGATTGTGGACTTTGGAGCAAAGATCACGCCCGCAATCTAGGGATTGTCTACCATGAACTTGAGAAGTAGCCACCAAGGAAGGAACATAGAACTTTGTCAGTCGACTGGTAGCCTCTGTTGTCCAAGACCGCTAGAAAGATCGTATCCACGAACTCCCAAGCCACCAAAGAACAAAGGCACATCCTCCGAGATTGCGGCCTCACATCCCATGTTCTTGCCCGCAAACTCCCATCCCACAACTGTAAACTTGCCAGTTATCCTGAAATCTACAAATAGGGGACTCCTTCCCTTTTACAAAAGAGCTGTAAATAATTGGTAAGTTTCTGGTTTTAAAAAGAGGTGAGAGAGAGAAGGCAAAAGAAGGAGGAGCCAAGAAGAAAGGGATCTCGCCCCCATCTCTTGTTTTCTTCCTCATTCACTCTTGTATCTTCTTCACCCCTTTGTGGGGTAGTTACTCAATGTACTAGGGGTTTAATCCACAAACCCTAGATTTAGATTTTACTATGTAGAAATTTTTTTGTTAGGATTTGTGAATGAAATGAGTTTAGCTAGAGTTTACATGCATTTATCTATGTTATTTATGCTTTGAACTTGTCTCTCCATATGCTTTTCATGAATCCCTACTACTTAGGTTTGCATGAGATTGTTGTGGATTTGAGCGAATTTTCTTATAAGTGTAGTTGAATGATCTAGGGGTATGATTGGTGGACGAGGTGACCATCTCCTACTAGTCGGGATGCCCACCTAGGCCATGCGTGTGTGAACATCGACATGTCGAGCCAATGTGCAGATAGGTACAACCTACCTAAAGAATGTAGACGGCATCCCTAGTATCATGAACCTAATCGATGTGACATTGGGTAAGCGGATCATATTAGGAGGGGGGCTAGTTACACGTCCATTGAGCTACTCCCCACACTAGCGAGTCTCGCACCTTGTTTTCCACTAACCGACAAAAGTATCCTTTTGAATGATCGGCCTAATATATATCTAGGTTGAGGGTGATGGCCCTAATACAAGCTTTTATATATCCTTTTATTGTATTATGATTTTTTTTCTTGCAAGTCTTATCATGATGGTAATTAGGTTGTGATATTATGGTGGTATGATAATCTTGTTTTCATTTTATTAAATGTAAGTTGTACCATGATGATAAAATCGTGATATTATGCTAATATGATAATTTTTTATTAAGTGCAAATGGTACCATTGATTGTAAGATTGTGATATTATGATTATATGATAATCTTGTTTTCGAATTATTAAGATCCAAGGATTACATATTAATGTTCATGTATATTAACAACACCTTATTTTGTGTTCTCCGGACTCCTTTCCTTCGTTTTCCCCAACATACATCGACTATGTGTGTATGCGTGCTTACTGTTTAATAAATTACTGCCTAAAAATAATTCAATTAAAGAGTGTTGAAAACATATGTAGAAAATCACAGAAGAAACAAGGAGCGTACGACACACAAAGAGGTACATTGCATATATATAAACAATGCAAAAACCGAACTTCAGTTGAACGTACTAGTGATCAAGAACGAATTTCTCCATTGAAAACAAAAGGTCCGAGTAAGGAAATACTGGAATGAACAGAAGGAATTTATCCATGGTTTTGTGATGGGAACGGTACACATGACAAAAGATAATTCTGTATTTTCCTAACCTATACCCGATCTTCTACTAACTATGTAGTCATGGGTGGCATGGGGCCGGGATTATATATGGCACAAAGAAATAAAACATATTTATTCTTTTCCAATGAATTAACTACATGCAGGGGGTGAAACCTAATAGTAGTTTGAGTATGAGAAAAAAGAAGAAAAAAATAGGTGTAGTTCATGAGATTTAATTTGAACATGTGACGATGCAATTGCAATGTTAGTAAACAAGTGTTCCACTTAATTAAAATTATATTTTTTGTTATATTTTCAACATACACTTAATTAAAAGGTATATCGCTATGATTACTTGACGGGTTCGAAATTGTAAAGACTCACCTTGTACTTGATTGTATTTGATGAAATAAAGCTCACTCATAAGAAAAAGGTATAACGCTTATTCCAAATTTGCCAAGACCTAAAAATTAAACGTGCGGATACTCTTATCCCACCAGAAATCAACCGCTTTGGCTTTAAGACATTCTCTTCATTCCGTTCGTGAATAATTGTCTGATGTGATATCTTAAGGGAGATTTGTCAAGCAGTGTAGACACTTAGTGTCTTTTAACAATTTTTAAAACATGAAAACATATTATGCGATTTAGTTGTAACTTGTACTAATCAGACATTTCTTATTTATGAATTATTTTTAATTTAATTTTTGGAAGAGAGCACCCATATGATATTCATGGTTTACCACTATTTACACGCATGCTGTAAAATATTATTACTACTGGTTAGGTTATTCGAGAAGCAAAAGAAGAATAAATAATGGTGTACGTAGTCATGTAAACGTATATGAGCACCCATCTTATGGAAACCATAAGAGCGGTTTAGGGGCTCCAACACCAGTCAAGATCAAGTGACTAAGGAGTGTTTAGTCACTTGATTAAGCCCATCCTAGCCATTAGATGGATACATGCCAATCTAACGATTAAAAAATGAGAAGGGCTTTTTAGTTAGTAGCACGGGAAAATTTGGTATTGTGAAAAATTATGAATTATACAAATTGGACTTACTAACAATATAAACATACAAACAATAAAAATTAGATGACGAAACATACAAACATATTTACAAAAAATATAAAAAAAGAAATATAAAAACTAGACCGACAAACAACAGAAACCATACAAAATGGAAAATGGTAAATTACAAGTTTAGTCAGTAGAATAACTAAAATATTTCATGTTTGCCATTAAGAGTAGTTTTTTCCATTCATGGTCTCTTAAATTAGTGTAGTAATCCAAGTTAGGTCACTGGCCGTTAGTCTTCGTCAACCTCCATTAACACCGTCAGTTTTTTGCTAACGTGGATAACAGAGATGCTTAGTCACCCAAATTTTGCCCCAATTTTTGTCATTTTGTCATTTTGCCCTGCCTCGAGAATTCCAGTTGCCTCGAGAATTCGATCTCAAGGTTTCCAAATCTCCTGATTGCTGTCGGCGTTTCCTGCGTCTTTTTCTTTACGTTTCTATTGCTACGCTTCTGGTGGCGGCGCTTCAATGGGAAAGAGAGGGTCGGCGAGGAGCCTTCCGAGAGAGATGAGCTTCAATAGGAAAGAGAGAGTCGGCGAGGAGCGCTAGATGAGAGAGGCGAGAGAAAGAGAGAGCTGGGTCGGGTTTGGGTTTAATGAGGTTGCAGGTCCAAATTTTTTTTTGTTTTTTTTTTGTTTAAAGTGGTTGACTCAACATCTCAGTTTGCCACCTTAGCAAAAAACTGACGGTGTTAACGGAGGCTGCCGAAGATTAACGGCCAGTGACACAACTACTTGGACTACT